TTCTATTTTGAGTAATCATTTCTAAAATGTGTCATAAACTCAAATATATCAAGAAGTGTCTATTCAATTTTTTTTAAAGAAAAAGCTATGAAAACTGATTTTTTTTTTAATTTCTACACCAAACACAATATTTGAGACATTCTTAAAAGATGTCTGCGCAAAAGTTACATTTAATGCGTAATAACAAAAAATAAAAAAAAAATCTCCAAAATTTGTTTGATTTTTGTAGATTTTCAAGTGTTTATGCTTTTAAATATTTCTAAAGCTTGCAGTTTTCATGGGAATTTTTTTCTATAAAAATTTAAGATATTAAGGGTATACGGAATCAAAATGCATCACAAAAAAAGATTCGGCAAAATTCACCCATTGTTCAAACTTTCAGGGAATAAAAGAAATTATATTATTTAACTTTTTCCATAGTGTTTTATTCAGTTTTAATGCTATTTCTAAATGCACGTATTTTTTTTTTCTTAACGCTACTCATAAGAACTTGTTTAGACCAACTTTTTTGTGTGGAAATCCATTTTTCTTCATGTCTTCCTCTGATTCCACTTCCTTATGGTTTTTCCGCACTGTCTGTTTCATGATGACCTAGTACTTCTCAATTGGCCGCAGTTCCGGTGCGTTTGGGGGATTCAGATGCTTGGGCACGAAATTGACCTCTTTAGCCTTGTACCACTCCATAAAATCTTTCGAATAATGGAACGAGGCTACATCCGGCCTTGAAATCATAGGACCATTGTGTGAATCCAGAAGTCGAAGTAGACGCTTTTGGAGGCATTCCTTAAGGTATACCTGCCCATTGATCGTCCCAGTTGTCACGAATGAAGTGCTCCGCTTTATACACGAGCAAATTGCTTGCCAAATCATGTATTATTTGGCAAACTTTGACATATTCTGCTTTCTGAAGTCCTCAGGAACATCGAACTTATGATGAGCAGTGAAGAACAGGAGCCTCGGAAGCTGCCGGAAGTCTGCTTTTACATACGTCTCGTCATCCTTAACGAGACAATGCGTTTTTGTCAACATCTGGGTGCACGTGATTTTCCTACCGTATTCATCGCGATTCGGTGCCTTTTTGGACTTTGTACGTGTGTAGTCCTTCACATTTTTTAGCATCTTGCTCGAAAGTTTTGCTTAAACGCAGTTTTTTCACCACATCTCTAACTGAACTGTTTGGATTCCTCTTGAACGCTTGAACTACCCGCTTGTGATCTTTTACACTATACGGAGATCCATTTCGGCCACTTTTTCCTTACGATTCCTTGTACCGATTTAAAACACGGCTTACCGTAGATTGTACCATTCCCAGCTTCCTGCTGATCACGATGACACGATGAGAGATATCCGGATTTCCGTTGCTGTTCTTCGGACTCCATTTTCGCAACGATTGCACAACTACTAGGGAAATTTATACAGAGTAAAAAATACACATTGAACTAATTTCACCCAAAATTTTAATAGAAAATACCCAATGGGTAAAAAGTTACAACCATTTTAAAATGATGTAATTTGATTCGGTACACCCTTTATCTCAGAAAAACTTTGTCTTAGACGTCATTTTGATCAGAAGTAACATTTTCTTGCTACAATTTTTTGAAACATAATAAAAACGCAAAACAAAATTCCAAGATCCAAATTGGTCGACTTTTTGCAAAAATGTGAATCATGGCCCACAACACACAATTATGCAAATCGGAGAAGGTCGAGTTTTTCCGATTTGCCATTTGACGTGGAACTACTCTAAAGACACATCGCTTCCTTCCTTTGAATGATTACAATCTCCTACCAACTGACCGACCGACCAACCGACCGACTGAACGCAACGCAGCGGAAGAAGACGTCCTCGATACTCGGCTCATGTGGGCCGCTTTCTTTCTACCGTAGACACCGTAAATAGCTCATTAGTCACTGTTTTGTAATTGGCCATGAGAAATGAGAGCATGTGACGGCACTCGCTTTTATCACACACTTACTTGTGCGTGTGAAGAAGATGGTCCATGACGAGGGTCGGTTCATACGTGGGATGAACAATAATGGAGTCTTTTTTGAATAAGGGAGCCTTCTTGGAATATGTCACGCAAAATTTTCCAAAAAACCAAGCCTCCTCTCCCTTGGAAAATATGTCACGTATCCAATCCTCCCTTCCTCCTCATTCTCCATTACCACCGCTTTGAAATGCTATGATTTCAACGATGTTAGAATTTGGTTAACAGCTGAACAAACAAGACATACCGTGTATTTCAAAATTGATCGCACAGCAGTAGAGGGAGCGCTACTTCGTCGTAATCACCCATTTCCATTCTATCGAGCAGTTAATAATATCAATAATTTCACCGAGCACAAATTAATAATAGGTTTGTTCCGATGCGTTAGTTCATTAGCTACAACATAAACCCTATTTACGCTCATTGTTCTCAAAACAAAAGAAGCACTCGTAGCGAATCCCCTTTTTCTACGGTTATCCGCAGGACGAAGAAAATCTAATGGCGTTTCAATGCGTTAGGACGCAATTGAAACTCGTAGAACGAATTTAGAATCAGGAAGCAGTATTAGATTTTAAACAATATCTCAACAATTTGAGTTTTTTTTAAATCCAACGGTACGTATGGAAAGGTGAATCAATTAAGAAGTCGTCTTTGACAAAAATATTCCATTTTTTTTATCAAACCCGTTCAAAAAAGAAAGGTAAAGCGCGGGTTGTACGGACATTAGATCAAAAACCTTACATAAATTTTAGAAAAACGGCTCTAAAAGCATAAGTTACAAATATACGTCTTGAATTTTTGGCAGCTGACTCCGCATACATTTATTTACTATTAGCTCAGTATTGGGAATATTTGGTTGAGTTTTCAAAAAGTTAGAGCAATTTAAGAGAAACGTCTTTTTCTTGAAACCCCTTATTTTTTTTAAATAAAATGAACATAATTTGTTGAAATTTTGCTCATTTTTGGTAGTGATAAAATCATTCATCTGCCACAAATTTTACTAAAATTCATCCACAAGGTAAAAAATTGAAAATCGAGCGTTTAACTAAAATAAATCAAACTTTATACAGGCTCCTCCAATAAAGACCTAAATTATAGCCATAAATCCATAAACATCTATTCAATCACCAGCCACGATTAAAAAAATATCTAAATGCTGAGTAAATACGTACGCCCCTCGCGCGCAGCTAGCACGCATCTAGTGTTGGGAATCGAAAATATTTGGCAGTGGTTTGTTCACATTTCTATAGAGAACAACTTGTGCAAGTTTGATCAAAGTAGTCAATGGCGTTCAGAAATAACGTCAAATGGAACTCGAAAGAAGAAAAAATGTTCAGTCCGCATCGTGCTCTCTTGCCGTGCGGATCTATTTGCTTTTTACTGAAGGATGTTTATGAGATGGATAATAACGAGGTAGGTCATGATCTTTCATATACTAGGTAGGCAAGGGGTAAGTCACTCAGCACAGTGTGCCGAAAGTAGATTCGGCACATCTTCGGCACAATCTCGTAGGCATTGGATTTATCATTAAATCAAATAGGACCACTGCTCGACAGCTGTTATTGAAGTTGTTCACAACATTCGCTGTGTATTTCAGAAACATACTCCACTTGAATATACTAGAGGAACTCAGACCAGACAATTCACTTCTCGGTTCACATTTATCGCTGCTGGTCACACATTTTTCAGCTACTACGCAAATGGAGTGTATTACGCACCGGAATGCAAGAACCATTTGGATGGATTTGATCATGAAGTGGTGGCGATTGGATATGGGAAACTCAAAGGAGAATATTACTGACTAATCAAGAACTCCTGGTTCAACTACTGGGACAACGATGTGATATGCTTTGATTGTTGTTTCTTGATTTTGTTTTCTGTCGATCTTGTTTTCTGTGCTGAGGACCAATGCTACCGACGTCAGGTGGCAGCTCGCACACCTGGACTCTACCTATTGACCCATCAACTCATGAACCGCGACCAACGGCTTTACTTCCCTTCCGAAATAAGGCGTGATCAGAGATGTTGGCCTCAGAACATCCCGGCGGCTCCGACTGGGATTGAACGGAGGCCTGCTGTGGTGAGGGATATGCTTTGATGGCAGTGAAGGGAAACAACTGTGGCCTTATCACCAATGCGACGTTTGTAAATTTGAAGTGAGATTTCTGTTTAAATTAGAATTAAGTAAAAGAGTAGTTTTATTTTCGGATATGTTCGATGCCACATGGTTAAATGGTTTTCGATTTTTGTAACATACACAGCTAAAAAAAAGTAGTGTAAATTTCCGTTACTATGATGCACATAAATGGAGCGTCATAAATCATACAAATTTACATTATAAATCGTGTAAATTTATGAGACATGTCATGCAATATTCCATATATTGTATGCAACTTTCCACCTTTGTTTGCAACATTTCTTGCAAGCTGCTAGTTTACGTGAAAAGGAAGTTTACATGCATTAATGTTTGCATGCATGGATGTTTACATCACCAGTAAAATTCAGATTTTTTTAGTGTGTAAGATTAAAACAATAGGTTGAGTGGACATAATAAAAAAATCCGTGGCATTGTGCCGTGAAAAGTAGTTCGGTATTGTTCAAGTGAGTTTGGTTTGGTAGATGACCAATTGACCAAGTGCTGGTGATTTGTTGCTGAAAAGAAAGGCCACATCCTGCCTCAACATACAATTTTTGATCGAATTCTCCCGGAACTCCAACCCGATGGCAAAACCGAACGACTTAGTTTGGAATCCTCCTTCTTGGCATAACCCATTCCATCGTCGAAAACTTCCGAGAGCTTCTTGCTCGGAATCACCACCTTCAACAGTTTCTCATCCAGATTAAGCATAAAGTTGTAGTGCTTCTAAATCGTTTCCATCTGATTGACCAGCAACGTTCGGACGACATTGGAGCAGTAGGACTTGTAACGCTCACCTAGAGCACAGATAATCGATCCGAAGTGCAAATAGTTCTTGTCGCTGAATGCACTGAACTTCAAGCTATAATTGTTACCCGACTGATTAATCGCCGGGTAACAGATGTCCAACTAGTTGGTATCCACACCGGAGGCGTCAGAGCCTGCTCGACACCCTCCGACAGTTTGGCATGTTTTACTTTCTTATCGATAATCTCCATGATGTGATCCTTGAGGTACTTATTGAATACGTCTACCGCCACCAGGCAGGCCTTCTTGATGGTGATAACCTCGGAGTCCTTCTTGGAGCACATGATGTACCCGATTGGGACGCTGATGTCCACCGCACCGTGTCCTTGACGAAGGCTCGCCACGTATCACAAAATTCACCCAGGAAGTTATCCCAACGTTCTGCCATCCTTGGATCCCTCTATCGCCTCCATCAGCTTTTCAAAATTGGCCTTGTTTTTGTCGTTCTTATATCGAACCAACAGCATCACCAACGGAATGCCCTCCTCACCGTCCTTCTCGTCCTGGTCAGGAAAAATATGGACTTTTCGCACAGAACCGTAATCGTATCGGTCAGCTCGGTGCGAGGTGGACTTGCTGTAGATGGTTTCCTCGTCTACGCCGATCGCCTTCAGAATGCAATCCACTTTCTGCAGCGAATCACCTTAGAGGCGTTTTATTCGTCGGGTGAAGGAATCTTTATCGAGCATTCGACATTTTCATCAAACCAAACCATTCAAGCTGTATGAAATACCGGGTTGCTAAATATACCATAATATTCGTATTTTACAAAAAAAAAACCGCTCGCTCTATGACCGGCACAATCGGGCACACTGAGAAAAATGTTGACCCAAGATTGATGTGCGGAGTGACCTACCCCTTGGAGGTAGGTCATTTTCTTTCATTTAAAGGTCACTTCTGATAGACAAAGATGTTGAGAAAACAAATATCTATCTAGGAAAAATATGCATAGTAATTTTTTTTATCAAAGTGATGAGTAAAAATTCTAAACACTTCAATATCTTAAAAATGTCTTCATTCGAGTTTTAAAGTTTTTTTTTTAATGGAGCTCCTGAAAAATGGCTGGTAAATCGCTGGACAAAGCGTACCATTGATACCCCGCGTATCTGAAAGTATAAAATAGACCCCAATGTGGTCCTTAGCCTATTGTCCAGCAACTCGTATCCCTACCTCCCCGCGGTGCCGGCTGAGGTACGAGTAACCATAGGAAAGATCGGGTAACCAAACCCGGTGGAAAATTGGTCGTAAGCTGACAGGGAAGGGAAGGCTTCTCTCTCCGGAAGGCGTAGCCTAACCGAGCGTCTGTTCTCCATGTTAGGGGCGGCTCAAAAAGGCGTCTGTTCTCCATGTTAGGAGCGGCTGCCAGCTTGAGACTCTAAACAGAGCTGTGCACGATGGTCCTTCGGCGAGACAGGGGGTTGGTGCAGCCCCTACAAGCCAACCGTAAAACTTAAAAGGTACAGGAAGCAAACAAGGTAAATACGGACCGGAACAATCGGCATAGACTCGGGCAACGAATACGGACTAGCCATTGGAAACTCGGAACATGGAACTGTGAGTCTCTCAATTTCTTGGGCAGCATTCTTTCCGACTAATTGAGGGTCCGCAAGATCGACATTGTAGTGCTGCAGGAGGTTTGCTGGAAGATATGAGATGGATAATAACGAGGTAGGTCATGATCTTTCATACACATTTCCTGACAGTTGGTGAAAGGTCATTTTGGATTCAAGCTGCTGCAAGGGTAAGTTGGACTTTGATAAGCTGCGTCGTGGGTGATTTGCCCATAATTAATATCGGCTGATTTTCACATTTTCTGGCTATCCTGCCAGGAGACGAACCTGGAATCTTGGAGACCCCCTATAGGTAATAAAAGGGCAAATCACCCACTTGCAAGGAAAATAGGATAAGAACGCGACTTCTGAACGCCGTTCTGAATGCGAGTGAGGACGGATTTGCAAAAATCGTCTCCTCGCCGTGGCAAAGTCAAAGGAGAGAACGCGACCGAGACGGCCGTTCTGAGAAAACGAGTGAGGACGGATTGGGAAAAAAAATCGTCTCCTGTGGTGATACTACCACAGGATAATAACGCGACCGGGACGGCCGTTCTGAATGCAAGTGAGGACGGATTTGTAAAAATCGTTTCCTCGCCGTGGCAAAGCCACATGAGAGAACGCGACCGTCCCGGCCGTTCTGAGAAAACGAGTGAGTCCTTCTTAATGCTGCTAACAGAATTGTGAAGGTAACCACACCGGAGGTAACGAAGCCTTCGACGGAGCCAATCTGAATCGCGGTATTTATAAACGCGATCGGAATCGTCAGCAGGGGATAAGAATGCAATTCCGGCAAAACCAAGTAAGGAGGAAAGTTATGAAGGAACAACAAGCAAATGCAAAGAGAAGGTAGTAATCAAACGTTGACAAACGGTATCTAGATCCTAGATACGCATAAATGCTGCTGGAAATTATTTTATGGACGATGAGGATGAACGGATTAAAAGTAAATAGTTGAGAGCCATGAGAATGAACAAGAGCAGCACTATTTATTTTTGTGTTGTTATTGAACGATCTCAGTGATTTCCAGGATCTCCTGTTTATTTATTAGGCTGTTCAAAAGTTCAAAACCATGGACGCAGTCGATTGACTCTCCCAAACTTGTTAAGCAAACATAGATGAATTCAGTACCCAAAAGTTAAGGCTAACACTAGGAAGTAACTGAAGATCTATTGCTGCTTCTACTATCGCCAGTGGGAATTTTAGGTCGAATCCTTCTTGATTTCTAGGTTGTAGCATTGTCCGGGTACCATGATGATAATATAGAGGTATATTTTCCACTAGCCGGGTGGGTCATAAATACAAGTTTCGGCAAACGTCTACCAGATTGAGACACGGTAAAGAATTTCTTGTCCTGGATGGACAGCTTCTGCCATCACTCACCCTTCTCTTTCTTGTAGGGGAGTTGAACTTAATGGTTGGCAACGGTCAGCGTATACTGGCTAACAGTTCCAGCAGTGGCCGACGATCTCACGCTTACCAATCTTATCATTGTTAAAGCAAGAGGAATGAATGTTGTACAAAAAAAACTTTTATAACTTTTATACCGAAGGAGAGGGAAGATATGAGATGGATAATAACGAGGTAGGTCATGATCTTTCATACACATTTCCTGACAGTTGGTGAAAGGTCATTTTGGATGCAAGCTGCTGCACGGGTAAGTTGGACTTTGATAAGCTGCGTCAACAACAAATTTAAACAGCACTTTTCAGTGCTCAACCTGTAAAAATTCTACCTTGTTCAACTCTTATTCCTCTTCGATCCTTGTTTGGACCCTACCCGAGGTAATCCTTCTTATATATCGATTTGGAAAATTCCTCTTCGATCCTTCAGATTCTTATAGTAATCTGCTTGGAAGTCGATTTGGATAAAAATTTACTGCCGCCATGGTGCCTAAACGCAAAAGAAAGGGGCAAAATCATGATCCCCCTTCTGATGAAATTAATTTGAGTAATCAATTTGATTTGCTCACGGATGATGAGAATGATCCATCATCCAAGAAAAATTCTAGTAAACTTTCCCGGCTTAATGCTAAGAAGGAAAAGATTCCCCCTATTGTGATAACCACTTCCGATTTCCATGCTCTTCGCATGGAACTTTTGAATTTCGTGAAAGTTAAGTTTTCACTACAAATTGGACGTCGGGGTGAATGCCGTGTATTGGCTGAAACCTTGGACGGATTTAAATGTCTACTCAAGTTTCTTACTGAGAAGCAGCACAATTGTTTACTTACGACACCAAAACTGAACGTATGTTCAAGGTTGTCATGAAAGGACTGCCCAGTGGTGAATCCTTGGATCAGATCGAAGATGAACTGGCAAAATTACTTGGAGTTGTGCCACTCCAAGTTATCAAACTGAAAATGCCGTCCTGGCGATTAGTACAACGGGATTTCTAATGATTTTAATTTAGTTCACTTCAAGTCTAGTGAACTAAACAATCTTAATGTAAAACACCGCTCATGGAATAATGCTCAAAGCAATTCCAATGGTAGTATTCTGATTGATGATTGTTCTGTAGGTTATTACACTATTCAATATCCAAACAAGCAGCCCAACATGCTTTTCTTCTGCAAGAAATCCCTCAACTATTGATTTGGTCTTAACTGATTCATGTCGACTTTGTAGCCAATTGGTTACCCATGCTGACTTCGGTTCTGATCACCTTCCAGTAACTTTTGAAATATCCCAAGAAATAATTTGTGATCCCAACAGCTCTACTTTCAATTACCATAGAGCTGATTGGGAGCAATATCGAACATTTATGGAATATAACTTCGATCCAAACATTCCTTTGCAAACCAAAGATGAAATTAAGTATGCTCTTGAATCTCTGACTACTTCTATAGTTGAAGCAAGAGCTGCCTCAGTACCAAAATGCGAGTTTAAATTCGATTCAATTATAATACACGACGATCTTCAGCTCTTGATCCGTCTTAAAAATGTCCGTAGGAGACAATATCAAAGAACACGCGATCCTGCCATGAAAGTTATCTGGCGGGATTTGCAAAAACAAATTAAAAAGCGATTCTCTGCCCTGAGGAACAAAACTTTTGAAAATAATGTTTCTAAATTAGACCCGAGTTCCAAACCCTTTTGGAAACTCACAAAAATATAGAAAAAAAAACCTCAAAAGCCTATTCCAGCGCTCAAGGAAGGTGGTAGAATTTTGATCACAAATTTGGAAAAAGCTCAGAAACTTGCTAAGCAATTCGAGAGTTCCCATAATTTCAGTTTGGGTCTTACTAGTCCTATTGAGAATCAGGTTGCTCGGGATTATCTGAATATTTTCTCTCGGGAAAATATTTTTGATGATTCCAGGGGGACTGATTTGGACGAAGTAAGGTCTATAACTAAAAAGTTTCAAAATATTAAAGCTCCAGGTGATGATGGAATTTTCTATATCCTCATCAAAAAACTCCCAAACCTTGTCTTTCTTGGTAAAATTATTTAACAGATGTTTCCATTTGGCATACTTTCCTGATAAATGGAAAAATGCAAAAGTTGTTCCAATTTTGAAGCCGGATAAAAATCCAGCTGAAGCTTCTAGCTACCGTCCAATAAGTTTGCTTTCTTCAATAAGTAAACTTTTTGAAAAGATAATTTTAAATAGAATGATGCTTCACATCAATACGAACTCAATTTTTGCAGATGAGCAGTTTGGATTTCGCCATGGGCATTCAACTACTTAAGAGTTCCAATTATCAATTAAATTCGTTCAAACAAATCTAAAGG